AGCGATGTACTGCAGCTATCTGTACATAAACGCAGGTAATCGCAGTACAAAGAGAAAATAAGTAAACAGTTGCTATAGAAAAGGCAGGAATTTTACTACTGCAGCTAAACGCAGCCACATGTAAACGCACGTAATCACAGATGTACAAATGTAAGTGATGTGTCTGTTGCAAGAGTGCAGGAACTTCAAAATAAAAAATATGCATTTACAAGTGGCAGAACAACCGCCCGTGTGAAAGAGGTCTTAAAGACACAATATTAGTTTGCAAAGAAAAGGCATTACTATATTGTTTTGTTTTTCTTGTACTAATAAAATATATACAAAGCAGGGGCGGACTGACCATTTGGGAACTCGGGCACTGCTGTCAGTAGGGGGCCCCAAGATTCTTTCCAAAATTCTTAAAGTAGCTATAGGCAAAATTTTTTTGGGTTTTTAAGTTTGGATAGAGTAAGGCTTGCTGTCACACCTGATGCAGTTGATTTTGATCCATTTTTACAAATTTTTGACGTGTATTGCGTTTTTTTTGTCAAGTTTTTTTTTTTTTCCCCAGCTTTTTCCTGCAGTTTGATTTTGATCACATCTGCGCGGTTTTTTTTTTCAGTGCGGGCCGCAATTTACATAGGCACAATTTACATAGGCCAAGAGCCCATTCGTTTGAATGGACTCCTTTGCCCCGGGACATGCAGGGAAGAAGTCCCTGCACTTCTTCTGAAAACGAAGCCCGCACGTGAACAGAGGTTCCCAGTACGGTTGCGATTTCCAGTGCGGGCGGCGTGCCATTAGAATTAATGGCACCTGCCTGTGGGTCCCGCTTTCCTCTGTGTGGGTGGTTCGGCTGCAGGTATTTGTGCGGATCCTGCAGCGGCACCACAGATGTAAACCAGGGATTAAAGAGGACATTTTTTTGTTGAATAAAAATACAAAACATGTCAAAAATGCACTACATGCATTTCAGCAGTGTCTCCATTGAACTCTATTGTAGCAAAACTGCTGCTGTTTGCATTTAAAAAAAAAAAAAGAAAGTCCCTGACTCTTTCCAAAAATGTAGCAGCTCAAAAAAGCATATACAGTCAGGTCCATAAATATTGGGACATCGACACAATTCTAACATTTTAGGCTCTATACACCACCACAATGGATTTGAAATGAAACAAACAAGATGTGCATTAACTGCAGACTGTCAGCTTTAATTTGAGGGTATTTACATCCAAATCAGGTGAACGGTGTAGGAATTACAACAGTTTGCATATGTGCCTCCCACTTGTTAAGGGACCAAAAGTAATGGGACAATTGGCTTCTCAGCTGTTCTATGGCCAGGTGTGTGTTATTCCCTCATTATCCCAATTACAATGAGCAGATAAAAGGTCCAGAGTTAATTTCAAGTGTGCTATTTGCATTTGGAATCTGTTGCTGTCAACTCTCAAGATGAGATCCAAAGAGCTGTCACTATCAGTGAAGCAAGCCATCATTAGGCTGAAAAAAACAAAACAAACCCATCAGAGAGATAGCAAAAACATTAGGCGTGGCCAAAACAGCTGTTTGGAACATTCTTAAAAAGAAGGAACGCACCGGAGAGCTCAGCAACACCAAAAGACCCGGAAGACCACAGAAAACAACTGTGGTGGATGACCGAAGAATTCTTTCCCTGGTGAAGAAAACACCCTTCACAACAGTTGCCCAGATCAAGAACACTCTCCAGGAGGTAGGTGTATGTGTGTCAAAGTCAACAATCAAGAGAAGACTTCACCAGAGTGAGTACAGAGGGTTCACCACAAGATGTAAACCATTGGTGAGCCTCAAAAACAGGAAGGCCAGATTAGGGTTTGCCAAACGACATCTAAAAAAGCCTTCACAGTTCTGGAACAACATCCTATGGACAGATGAGACCAAGATCAACTTGTACCAGAGTGATGGGAAGAGAAGAGTATGGAGAAGGAAAGGAACTGCTCATGATCCTAAGCATACCACCTCATCAGTGAAGCATGGTGGTGGTAGTGTCATGGCGTGGGCATGTATGGCTGCCAATGGAACTGGTTCTCTTGTATTCATTGATGATGTGACTGCTGACAAAAGCAGCCGGATGAATTCTGAAGTGTTTCGGGCAATATTATCTGCTCATATATAGCCAAATGCTTCAGAACTCATTGGACGCCGCTTCACAGTGCAGATGGACAATGACCCAAAGCAGACTGCAAAAGCAAGCAAAGAGTTTTTTTTTAAGGGAAAGAAGTGGAATGTTATGCAATGGCCAAGTCAATCACCTGACCTGAATCCGGTTGAGCATGCATTTCACTTGCTGAAGACAAAACTGAAGGTAAAATGCCCCAAGAACAAGCAGGAACTGAAGACAGTTGCAGTAGAGGCCTGGCAGAGCATCACCAGGGATGAAACCCAACGTCTGGTGATGTCTATGCGTTCCAGACTTCAGGCTGTAATTGACTGCAAAGGATTTGCAACCAAGTATTAAAAAGTGAAAGTTTGATTTATGATTATTGTTCTGTCCCATTACTTTTGGTCCCTTAACAAGTGGGAGGCACATATGCAAACTGTTGTAATTCCTACACCGTTCACCTGATTTGGATGTAAATACCCTCAAATTAAAGCTGACAGTCTGCAGTTAAAGCACTTCTTGTTTGTTTCATTTTAAATCCAGTGTGGTGGTGTATAGAGCCAAAAATGTTAGAATTGTGTCGATGTCCCAATATTTATGGACCTGACTGTACATATGAACGTTCTCCATAGTAACATGTTAAATGGACTAGTGGGTTTCTGCAAAAAGCACTAAAAAACACATTGGTGTGAACCAGTCCTTACCCTAGGTTCACACCTAAGCGTTTTCCGCAGAAATGCAGTACAGTCTGTTTAACACGATTTCCCATGGGACACGTTCACATCTCTGCGTTTTCAGACAGTGCATTTTTTGGAACGGGTCAGGGACTTTTTTAATTGCAAAAAATGTGTGTTTTTGGTACTATAGACTTCAATGGAAACACTGCAGAAAAGCATGTAGTGCGTTTTTGTTGCATTTTAAATCTGCCTAGCAACATGGAAAAAAAACACATCAAAAACGCAATGCAGAAACGGGTCAAACGCAAACTGCATAGGTGTGAACCTAGCCTTAAGGAGAGTTCTAATCTCTGTAAGTTTAGTTTTTTTGCCATCTGTGCCCCATTGGGGAGATTTCCCTTCATTTCTTGTACCATGGCCAAAACAGAAAGTGATGAAATCCCTGCATATTAAGGAAATATCTTGGTCAGGAGGGATGTCCAGGATATTGGAGTCTTTTCATTGTCATGAAAAGGTGATCTTTTCCTTTTTTAAAGTGCACCTGTTGCTGTCCCTTTCATAGATACAGCCCATTTACTTTAATTAGCAGACATATGCAGTCTGTAGATAAATGTTCCCAGATACAGTTCCGAAAGGATTTTTTTTTTTTTTTTGCCCCTGCATCCACCCCAGGCTGTGTATGGGCAGCCTATAGAGGTTAGTGCAGATGCAGCAGCTGCACAAACACCGCCGAATGCCAAAATGTGACATGATTGTAGGAGTGGGTGAACAGATCCGAACACAGTGTGTGTTTGGATCTGTGCACTCACTCCTGACCGCATGTCAAGTTTTGACATGTGGCTGTGTTCATGCAGCCGCTCAGTCTGCATCCACCTCTATAGGATACCTGCATGCAGCCTGGGGGGGATGCAGGTGCAATAACAAAGGATGGATGTCAGTGGCCATCTGAATGAACCCTTACATCCCGGTCACACCGATCCCGACTTTGAAATCGTACGACTTACAGTGAAGTTGCACAATCTCAAAGTCTGATGTCATGCCAATTTGAGATGCGATTTGCAAGACATTTTAAGACCCTAGTCACACTGGATGAGAATTGTATGTGATTTTCATGCCATGCAACTTGCAAATCGCATGCCAAAACGCAGCCTATCGTTCACAATTAGAGCGATCATATTGATGGTCAGAGCCACACTGATTTCTATAGTACATGCACTACTTTTGGTGCAATTTGCATAGACCTCTGTATCAGATGTCTTGAAAATCAGCATGATATGACTTCATTGTAAGTCGCCGCACGATTTCAAAGTAGGGTTTGATGTGACCAGGGTATAACACAGTTGTCTATGCAAAATTGCACCAAAAGTATTGCATGCACTACTTTAGTCTAGGTTCACACCTATGCGTTTTCTGCTAATGCACAGTAGTCCATTTAACATGATTTCCTATGGGGCAGGTTCACATCTCTGTGTTTTCACCCGGTGCGTTTTTTGGAAAGGGTCAGGGACATTTTTAAATGAAAAATGTTGCATTTTTGGTTCTATAGACTTCAATGGAGACTCATGTAGTGCGTTTTTTGATGCATCAAAACGCATGTGCAAAAACAGATCAAACGCAAACTGTATAGGTGTGAAACTAGCCTTAGAAATCAGTGCAGCTCTGACCAAGTCAGAACCACACTGATATGACTGCTGTAATTGCAGACAATAGGGTGCGACTTGGCATGGGATTTGCAAGTTGCATGGCATGCCAAGTCGCACCAAGTGTGACGGAGACTTATGTCTAGGGAACATTGTTTCCAACCTGACAGGTAGTACCGATCAGACCATGCTATCTCTGATAACTTCACTCTCAATTAATAATTGGGAGCCAATCAGCATGGTTCTGGAACATCTGAACACTGATATATATGAGGTTTGTTAGTAAACAAACCTCTCCCTGCCCCTGCTGTCAGTCTTTCTTTCTGTGTACTTGATGTTCAAACATTATTTATTTTTTTTTACATGACAGCAAATAACAATGTTTAATTTATAAACATTTTTATATAATCTTAACTTATTAACTTATTTTGCAAATTTGAGAAAGATGGAAAAATAAATTGTCCATTAGATTCACTGCTATTTACTTGTCCATTGTCTTAGGTCACCAGCGGAGCTCTCAGTGAGGATATTTATAGCTGTGACATCTGTGCTAAAGGCTTCCGCTTGCAGCGCATGCTGAATCGTCATCTCAAGTGCCATAACCAGGTTAAAAGACACCTCTGCACCTTCTGCGGCAAAGGGTTCAATGACACCTTCGACCTGAAGAGACATGTAAGGACTCACACAGGTAAGCACATTCCAGCATTGGCTCTGTCTGCTGTCCTCTACAGGACACACAAGAAATTACACAGTTCTCATTTTAAAGTGATAGTAAAGCCCCTCCCCCTTGTTGAGTGCCCCCATGGCAAGCCACTAGCCATGGGGGCACTCATGCATGCTTGCTCCTAAGCCCCACTCTGTGGGGTTTATTTATTAAAGCTGGAGAGTGCAAATTCAGGCTCACTTCTGCAAAGAAACCAATCGGCTTCCAGATTCTATTGCCAAAGCTTAAATGAACAAGCTGAGGTTAGAAGCTGATTCGTTACTATGCAGAATTGAGCCTGATTTTGCATTTGTAAATAAACTCCTGTGTGTCCATAAGACATACACATCGTGGCTCTACCCCACCTCCTCCGCACTTGCCATGAATGACCACAGCAGGAGCCAATGTTTCTCTCTGCTGTCACTGTGCCAATTAGGAGAGAGAGCTTTTTGTGCACATTTCTGGATCGAGATCAGGCTCAGGTAAATATTAAAGGGGGGGGGGCTGATTGCAGAATGTGGTGGGGTTTTTTTTGTTTTGTTTTTTTAACCATACTGCATTGAATGCATTAAGGTAGAAACCCTTCTGCCTTTAGAACCACTTTAACCCTTTGCACACTCATAGGACTCATGCACACAGGCATACAATATGCTGCATTCTGTAATTTAAATAGATCTGAATGCAGCAGTATGTATGTTATGGGCCGTTTCCACATTTCCATCTGTGTTTAACTGCGGGAACCAAAACAAGAAAATTCAGTCTCCACAATCTGATTTTGACTGTAATTTAGCATGTATGCATGTAAACATTTGTGTATAGTTACATAGTTAGTCTGGCTGAAAAAAGACAAAAGTCTGACCTGTTTCTGCTTTACTTTGTCTACTGTATGTGGACCTACAAGTCTCTGCACATACATTCTGAGAGCTAGTGTTTTGATGGAGAGTCACCTAGCCATCTTACAGTGATAGATTGGAGGAGGGGTAGAACCTATAACTAATATAAAGTTGGTGTTATGCCAATTTGGCTTAAAAAGTGGAAATGCACTTTTAAGTATGGAATATATCTCCATCTTCTTCTTTGTTCTATTGTTTGTAAATCACTCCCACTGTGATCTTGCCCTGCATGTGACAGATTTGTTTTAGAGATTGGCACACAGACACTGGCAGTAAAAAAGATAAAGCCAGCCAACCAGATGAACTTCCTTGAAAACGGTGAGGAAAGGCAACCCTTGCCCTCTTTTTATCTTGCAGCTCAAGGTGTATTAGACTCTAAATGCCTGCACTTGAGTAAACTATCCCATTCTGTTCATAATACTGATAGCAAGGTGTATTGCCAGGCACAGCATTGCAAAGGTTACCACCAGTATATTTTTTTGACGGGGACAATTACATTTTTTTTTTTTCTTTTCTTTTCTTTACCTTTTTTTTAAGCTGAAATTAAAAAAAAAAAAAAAAAAAAAAGTCCTGATGGAATAACAACTTTCACAATACATAGATGCTAGTCATACGACTCTTACTGTATGTAGTCAATAGAATCACGTGTGTGCACAATATATTCTCATTCTATCTATCTATCTATCTATCTATCTATCTATCTATCTATCTATCTATAATCTATCTCCTGTTTTTTATAGGAGAAAAGGTTTTTGTTTTGTGTATTTTGTTTTTTTAATTGTGTTTGTTCCTAATGGAGAGACTTTGATTTTCTGTCACCGAGACAGAAAGTGATGAGAAATACGCATTTTTTTATTGTTTGCCAGAGCAACAGTAAATATTTCCATGTGGACACCTGATAACATTTTATGATGGGAATTTTGTAGAGATTTGCTCTCGCTTCCTGTTGCATCTGCAGGACAGGAAGTGAAGGGAGATTTCCCCTGTAGCACACCAACAGCAAAAAAAAAAAAAAACAGTTAGTTTTTATCATATGCAAATGCACGAAAACAATCAAAAACATTCTTATTTTCAGAAGTCTTTCAAAATAACTTTGAATACATGTATTTGACCTTGTTTTTCTCTCCCTCTATTCTTTTCTTTTTATTGTTTTTTCTTTTTTTTGTTTTGTTTCTTTTTTTTAATACAGGAATTCGTCCATACAAGTGTGAAATCTGTAACAAAGCCTTTTACCCAACGCTGTTCTCTGGAATCTCACCTAAAAAAAATTCATGGTGTGCAGCAAGGCTACGCGTACAAGCAGAGGAGGGACAAGTTATTTGTTTTGTGAGGAGTGTGGCTACACTGGACCCCCCAGGAGGATTTATACCTGCATGTTTACACAACAGCCACCCCGGCAGCGCCTTTCTCAAGAAAACCACCAAAAAACTGGCAGCTCTTTTGCAACACAAAATCACATCTGTGCTGCAGGTCAGTCCCATAAATGAAGAAGAGAACCAGTGAAAAATGAAATGGACCTCATGTACATAAATGTTTACATGGAGTGTGAACTTTTCTATATTTGTATATAGCTTATTTTATAAAAGGCAGAGGGATTTATATATTGTACAATATTATGAATTATTGGACACAGCAAACTACTGATTGTTTGCTATAACAATGAGGGCTCCAGTATTCCCGAGATGAAATTCAGAGACTCTATAATGTACACATGAGATAAAAAATATATGCTGTAGACTAAGTGCCTCTGTAACTGCTGTTGTAAAAAATGAGATTTATATTTACTTTGTAAACTACTAAGGTTTTTTATTGCATTCTTTTATATATAGAACAGGTGCTCTGGTACCTTTTTAATAAATGCAAAGTTTACATTTTTTTTTTTGTCTTTTTTTCCTCAATCTGTATCATATGTACTATATTTCTGTATTAAAGCCCAACTCCAGCCCCATTTTGTATTTTTAGGTGTTAGAGTATGAAAGAGTAACATTTTTTCTGACATGTTTTCATTGCTAATATTGGCCATGAATGGATTTTTATTTTTTATTTTAAATCATCCAGCAGGCTGATCACACTAAAAAAAAAAAGAAATGTAGCTGCTGTCTTTTTAAAAAAACAGCCACTCAATGGTCCAGTGATGTGCTCACCCCAGCTGGATTCACTGGCCATCTTCTTTCCCTGGCGCCGGCATCCTAAATGTTGGCGTCCTGCTGTAAAATCTTGCAGCTTCACAGGCATGTACCCACTGTGCATGAGCAAGTAGGGCTGCACATTGTGAATGATCCTGAAGTCTTCTGGGACCTGTAGTGTCCCAACAGATTGTGGTGAGGGAGGGGGGAGGAGAACTTCCACTTCCAATCACCTAGGCGGTTTGAAGGTACTTGTCAAAATTGGGTACCCGTTCTCAACTCCTGTTCCCAAAAGGTGCCAGTTCTTTACGGGGTGCGGGGGATCAGTGGAACTTACTCTTTTGGGTGGAGTTCCGCTTTAATAAAGAAATAAAGGTAAATGCGATTTTGATGCACATCCATCAAAGTCTTTGGACCACAAAATCGCACTGCGTAGCACAGGACCCTTCCCCAAAGACCCATCACAGCTGTGCTGCATTGATAGGAACTGCACTATACTAAAGAACAAGATCAGCAGAAACCCATCTACTTGGAAATTCTGTTCAGTGATCGTTTTTTCTATGTTTGTATTTGCACAGGGACACCTTTTTATTCAAGCATTCACCCACATAGATGGGTTATATATACCAGGGGTCTCCAAACTTTCTAAATAAAGGCCAGTTTACTATCTTTCAGACTTTAGGGGGGGCCGGACTGTGTCCATTAAAAATAGAAATGGTCCTGTGTCATTGGGCGTAAACAATGCATCTTTTGGCATTAGGGGAAGAATAGTGCCCCATCATTTGGTGTCAGTGGGAGGCATAGTGCCCCATCGTTGGTGTCAGTGGGAGGAATAATGCCCCATGGTTTGTTTCAGTGAGAGGAATAGTGACTATTGTTGTTAGTAACAGGAATTATGCCCCCTTGTTGGTATCAGTGGGAAGAATAGTGTCTTATCAGTGGGAGAAAAAGTGCCCCAAGGGCAAGCAAGGGGCCGCAGTTTGGAGACCACTGGTTTATGCAGTGTGGTTTTATGTTTTACAAGTAATAGAAACATGGTAGAGGTTCTAATACTGTACAATTTCTGCATATGTGTTGTGCTAACGCATGTTAATCCTCCATGTGTTGGTGTGTTGTGGGGCTAATAATTTTCAATAGCCCCCCAATTCACATCTGTTGTGGCACAGTAAGGCTCTACCATGGATTGTTGTGTGCTGTGTTCCTACAAATTGTGCATCCCTCCCCCCCACCCCCCTTTCCGTCTTTCAGGAAAGCACCCATGAGAGAGCTCGGCTCCTCCCCACCTGAGGAAACAACACCTCCACCCAGTTTAAAGTGAGGCCTCCCCACTAGGACCTCAGTGATGGTGTTTCCTCCAGTGGGAGAGACGTGTGGAAGCCCTTTCCAGGGTGGCCAGAGGGCTGCGTTGTGCCTGGAAGATGGGGAGGGGTAAGAGGACTGGGTGCAGTCTGTTGTTTTCCCCCCAGGGTGGGGAGGTAGGGTCCCTTACCTCCTGGTCAGTCCTCTGAGGGCAGAGGGGGAGTCCCTTACCTCCTGCTTTCCAGCCAGGCCCCTGCCTGGGGAGGAGAGGGGAGCCAGGGGTCCGCAGTTCACCGGTCTCGGGGGGGGGGGGCCCATAGAAGAAGTCCAGGGGGTGTCCCGCCGCTTCATGTAGATGCCAGCGGTGGAGCTTTTGCCGGGCTAAGGATGACAGACGTCCCTTCCGGTTGAGTGGTGGGACTTCCTTTATGGTGCGCTGCTTCCAGCTGTGGTGCTGTGAAGAGTGAACCAGAGCAGTTGAGCTGATGTGGGGAGCTGCATCTGCAGAGGCAGGCTATGTCCAACCCCAGAGCAGACAACCACAATGGGACATGTCCAGAAACGGATCAGGTACTGGGATCGGGGTGACGCTGGTCACCAGTCCCAGTCTAGAGGGTAGGTGGCTCATGAGGAGCCTCTTTCCCTATCCTGTTAGGCCCCTAGACTCCAGGGGGTGTCCTGCCATGGCCATACAGTCCATGGCCCGTCACGAACAGTGGAATATAGAATATTGGCTCAAACAGCTACAGGCCCATATTGTTGCAGGTTTCCCGAAAGATAAAATTCTAGCCTCTTTTCCAACCTTATTACAGGAGGTTGGCTATATTGCAGATGCTTCAGCAGAGTTGCAACCTTGCAGCGTTGCTCCGGGATCTCTTTCTTCACTTACCTTGTCCTGCGCTCCCGCGATGTCCCTCCTGCAGTGTCCCCGGCAATGTCCTCCGGCCGATGCCGGCATCCGTCTTCTGGGTTCCGTTCGCTGCGACGTCAGGACGTACAGGGGACGGAATGGCGGGAAATTTAAAAATGTGAAAAAGTGACATTCGCTAAATACACTAAAATCACATAGTAAAACATTACTGTATCAAAACATTTCACATTGTGTTTTGTCCCGAGTGCTTTATCCTGTGCCCTGCCTGCATTTTTACTGTTCTTTCTGCCTGGAAACAGAGAAACGTCCATGGCGTCCAAAAAGCGTCCCTTTAGGTCAAAAGCAGTTTTAGACCAGCTAGAGAACAGCGATAGTAGATTAGAACTACTTGCAGAATTGAGTGCTGATGATTCGTGGGAAATTCCTCATCAGACACTGAAAACGATTTTGAGACTTTGCTCAGTGATGTGCGAACTTGGCGCTATATTTCAAATTTCAGTGTTTTTGGTTTGATTATATTATGGAAATAAATTTATTTTTTATGATTATTTATTAAATTATAATTCATGATTTCGTGTTTCAAATTTTAACATACCTGGGATGTTTACTAGACTCTTGTTTGGACAGATTTCAGTGAGTTATTCCTAAAAAATTACAGGCCTACAATAAAAAAAAATACATATTTCCATGCAAAAAAAAACGCTTTGAGCACAGAAATACTGACATAATCAGACCGCTAGGGAGGTTAAGTTAAGCTTTGTAGCATCTCATTCATTTTGAGCCCAGTCTTGAAACGGTGTTGGACTGCACCACTGACAAGAAAAAGGCCTTTCCATTGAAGGAAAAACCCCAGGCGTAGGGGAGGAGCAAAAGCAGGTTCAGGCCAGAGAAGCAGAAGAGACCCTGGGGGCAGAAGGGAAGAGGCAGGAGAGGGGTGATTTTCGATCCTGAGCAGCCCCAAAAGTCTCAATGATAGTGTTCCCCTGGAAGAAGATTGGGGGTATTCCTTCTGCAGTGGGAAGCGTTGTCCTCCAGTCCCTTTATCCTAGGTATAGTGAGGAGGGGCTACAGCCTAGAATTCCTGAAACTGCCGCCGCAGAGGCTGTTAGTGACGTAACTCCCAAAATGTACAGAGAAGGCATCATCTTGGCTCTCTTCCTTGCAGGAATTGGAGGAGCAGAGGGTCGTGTTCAGAGTCCCCTCAGCAAAGATCAGCAAAGGCTTTTATTCCCATGTCTTTGCGCTCAGCCCTCAGGGAAGTACAGGCTCATTCTGAACCTCAGCCTCTTGAACGAGTCCATAAAATACAAGCGGTTCCGTATGGATTCCATATATTCAGTCAGGTCTCTTCTTCCCCTCAACTGCTTTCTGAGCTCAATAGACCTAAGGGACGCCTACTTACATGTCCCAATTGTGGAGCCCTTTCAGAGATTCCTCAGGTTGGCAGTGAGGCGGCCCAGGGGACTACTTCACCTGCAGTTCCAAGCCTCGCCCTTTGGGCTTTCCTCCCCGCCCAGGATTTTCAGAAAAATCGTGGCTGAAGCCCTGGTGTCCCTTTGTCTAAGGTGAGCCTCAGTGGTGGTATATCTGGATGATCTCCTGTTGTTCGCAGAAGCAGGTGACACAGGTCGTAGCTTTAGTGATGAGATACCTGGAGAGTTTAGGTTGGCTTCTAAACTTAGCCAAGCCAAAATTGGTCCCTGCCCAAAGGATTGTGTTCCTGGACTACGAGCTGGATTCCACCCTTCACAAGACCTTCCTACCCCAGGAGAAAATTCTGAAGTTGGACAGGGTAATAAGGCGGCTGCTAGGGAGTCAGGGTCAGGCCTTGTCCCTAAGAGAATTCATGTTTGTATTAGACCTCTTGACCTCGTCCGTCCCGGCGGTGCAGTGGGCAGGGCTGAATTTGTGGCTCCTCCAGCTGTTCATTCTGGACATCTGACATCGCCGTCAGGAGTCTCTGGACTCCTTGGTACGGGTTCCCCCACCAGGTGAAAAGAACACTGGTGGTGGAGGAGGCCAACCAATTTAGCTCAGGGTCCTTTCCCATCTCTCAACCCCCCACCTCACCCCCTCGGTCTCTGCCCGAATCACACACCTACTGAGCGACATATCAGATTGGATGTCGCTCCACTTCCTTAAACTAAACCTCTCCAAAACCGAGTTTCTTGTCTTCCCCCCCAGCCCGGACACCACCCCCCATTGAC